ATGCTTTTTCTATATCTAACAAGATCATTGCTGTAATTTTGTTTTTGTTGAAGTTCTCAGAGATGTGATTTGTTATCCTAGCCAGTTGTTGCACTGTATTATGTCCAGGTCTGAAGCCAAACTGTTCCTCCACTATTATGTTGCTTTCATCTAGGTGGTGGGTTAGTCTGTTTAAAATAGTTTTTTCAAAAAGTTTACTGAGGGTAGTTAGAAGGCTTATGGGTCGATAGTTACATGCTTGTTTATTATTTTTATTAGGTTTAGGGAAAGCTAGTACGTTTGCTACTTTCCAACTCTGTGGGAAGTATGACAGCTTGAGTGAAGCGTTGAAGATATTGACTAGAGCAGTGATGGCTTTTTTGGGCAGATTTTTTAAAAGTATGTTTTGAATCCCATCTATGCCAGGAGCTTTTTTGGGTTTGAGATTTCGGATGATTTTATAAAGTTCTTGTATAGATACGTATTTTATCTCATTTGGATCTGTGCGAGAGTCTCGTATCTCTGATATAGAGGAGTCAATTTCTTTTTCGAGATTTGTATCATTTTGTTTATGTGTAAGGTAATGGACTTGTTCAAAGTGATCTGCTAATGCATTTGCTTTTTGACTGTTGTTCATAGCTAGTCCGTAATTTGTTTCAAGAGGGGGAATGATGTTATTATTATTTTTGGTAAAATATTTGGCCATTTTCCAAAGGGAGTTATCTTTGATGTTTAGGCTTTCAAGTTTTTTATTCCAGCTGGAATTGTTTTGCTTGGTAATGTTTTGTTTGATTTTAGTTTTGATATCATTTTTAAGGATTTTATACTGTTGATCACCTGTTCTTTGAAGTAGTTTTCTAAGCTTATTTCTTTTCTTAATGAGTTCTAAAGTATCTTCATTTAATTGGTAAGTATATATGTGTGGGTATACTTTAGGTATACTGGTGTCTTTGGCTAAGTTAATTGCTTTGACTAGATTTTCAATAGACTCATTTATGTCTGCAGGGGTGCTTATTTTGTTAATATTTACATTTACTTCAACTAGAGTTCTAAATTTAGGCCAGTTGGCTTTATTATAGTTGTAAAATAAAGTTTTATTTAGTATGTTTTTGGGATTATTTCTAATATCTAATAACACAGGTAAGTGATCAGAATCAAGGTCATGTATTATTTTCAAGTTATTACAATAGGGTATGTTTTTTACCAGTGTGAGATCAATAGTACTTGGTGCGTTGTCTGTGTTTGATGGATAGTGTGTATGGCTCTCAGGAGCAAGCAATACGTACTCTTTGTTTTCCATGTAGGTGGCTAGTAGATTTCCATTTTGGTTGGTTGATTGGCAGTTCCAGGTGTGGTGTTTGCAATTAAGGTCTCCCATGATGACAACTTTGTTGCTCGAGTTGAAGAGTTGATCTAGTTCCTCAGTTAGCAGTAAGTTTTGAGGTCTTAGGTAGGTTGAGATTATAGTTGTCCCATCATCAAGTTCAATTGCCACTGCTTCTATGTTGATGGTGTTGAGTTGTTTTTCATAGCAGCGTAGTTTGTTTTGAAAGCATATCATAACGCCACCTCCAGCTGATGCTCTGTCCTTTCTTAGGCAAGTGTAGCCAGGTATTTTACATTTAGTTTTAGAGTTGAATTTTGTTTCTGATATCAGAGCTATGTCAATTTTGTGGATGTTTAAAAATTGTTTGAATTCAGATAATTTGTTGGTGAGTCCATTTGCATTCCATTGCATGAGTGTTAGTTTATTATTATTATTTCTATGGTGTGGATCCATTATTTGCAAGGACTTCCATGAATATAGATGTGGCTTCTGCTTTTGTTGTGACACTTTGTAGTCTGGAGGTTAGATTCTTGACCGTTTCAAGCATCTCTTGGATATTAACCAATTGGTTAAGCTTTTGTATTTCAGCTTGAAGCTGAATAAATGTGGTTATCGTGCTGTATGTCTGTGTTGCTTTTTGGTGCTGAGGGTTGTGCAAGCGTGGGCCAGTTGCATTGTATTTCTGTTGTGTTGTTTAGCCAGGTAGGCTTGGGAAAATTTATATCATTGTTGGAGGGTGGTTTTTCTGCTGTGTTTGTTCTTAGTTTTTTAACTAATTGGGCTCTTTTGGCTTTGTTTATTTCAAGTTGTTTGATGTATACAGGGCAAGTTGTGCTGCTTGCTCTGTGTTCACCTTTGCAGTTAACGCACTGTGGTTTGGTATCTGGATCTTTGGTACAATCCTTGGTTAAGTGTTGGTTGAGGCATTTAACGCATCTTGGATTTAGGTTGCAGTTACTTGAGCCATGGTGGAATTCCTGGCATCTATGGCACTGAGTTAGACCTTTATTGTTTTTGTAGTTCTCCCATCTGATTTTCACTTGCAGTATGGTTTTGATTTTCTTAGCTGCTAATGGTTTGACGTCTTTTGCAAGCGTTACCATGTAGGCAGGGCTGACTGTGGGCTTCTGCACTTGTAGATCAGGGTTGTATTTACTTTTAAGTTTAACTATGCGAAGGCACTTTACACCTTGATGGTTAAGATCATTTTTGATTTCCTCCTCTTCGAGGTTAGGTAGCCCTTTGATTACCAGCTTTATAAGTTTGTCTTGTTTTGGTGTGTAAGTGAAGAATTTTAAATTTTGTTTCACTAGTCTATTTTTCAGAATTTCATAGTCAGACGAGGTCTGGGTAAATACTTTTAGTCCATTTGATGTCAGTTGAGTTGAAAACTCGCCTTTCATAATTATTTTTAACGCTGCTAGGTTTTCTTTGTAAGAAAGTTGTGCGTTTATTATTGTGATAGGCGGTAGTCGCTCTTTCACTGTTTTAGTTTTGATTTCACTGTTTTCACTTACATTGGTGTCTTGTAATGCACTGAACTTATTGTGTGTTGGTACATTGTAACTTAGGTTGTCCATTTTTTGTTTTTTAGGACAGTTATTTGTAATGTCAGTCTCTTGATTATCAAGGTTTTGTCGAATTGCATCTTGGAGGTTAGGCGCAATTATGTGGTTCGTGTTGCCGAGGTCCTTCATGGTCAACGGTCACGTCACGAAATCAGATTCCTGTGTCTAGTTGGCCAAAGTGGCTCGCTTATATACACAGCAAGCCACGTGCTGATTGGCCGATGCCGCGAGGTGGGGACGAGTGCAGCAGTGCACGTCATTTGAGTGGGGACAAACGCAGAGGTCTCGGCGTTAACGACTATACGATAGCGTGGGGATAACAACTATACGACACGGACATAACCAGACAGGAGTAACTTCAGGGTTATTTGGACAACACCTCCGCCAACAGCGACGAGCTCGACGAAGAGCACCAAAGTCAGTATTGACGGTTTACTAGATTGTTTGAGAGTGTAAGAGACTAAGTGCGATATCGAACAGACACGGTGGTGCTTCAAACTCATTGCACTAGGCTCCTTTATTTATAATATCGAAGTTTATACTTTGAGTTAAAAAATTAAATTTCGTGTGCAGAAGTGCTTAATTTATGTTGTCTTTTTGTCATTCCGTTCCTTAAGGTTTTGGCGTCAAATACGTTAAGAACTTGCAAAATTAAGTTGCGACGGTGCCGGAATAAGAGAAGCACCGTGTTGCAGATTTTGCGCTGTGTACTTCCTCCAAGGTGAGGATGGAAATGCTACTGTGGAATGCGGAGGAAGAAGCGGCTCAGAGTGGTCTGGCTTTTAATCTTCATAGAAACCAGATTATCGATGATGACCCGGTTAGCCCATTAAGTCCGCGACGGACACATTTCTGATACTTTTTGAACCGTTGTACTTTTGCTGAAAGTGGGATCTGGAGAACTTGCAAGTAAGCTTATTCTACTCAAAATTTAATGAACTTTCCGAATCTGAAGTCAGATTTTCGATATAACGAACAGGTCAAAAGTTATGGATGGTTTTGTTAAAAAAAATGTGATTTCGAAAATAAAATTTTTTCTTTTCCTATTTTCACATGAAAATCTTTTAAATCATGGCGTCTTCGGTACAAATAAAGCGTCCATGGGTCCTTCTCTTAAAGTTATGATGGTTCCAATTCGTGAAATATGATTTTAAGTACAAAAAATGGCGACTGAAAAACGAAAATATATAAGGAAATTTCTGGAATTTTTAACTCAAAAACGATGGATTTGAGGAAAAAATTGTACTGATGAATAAGTTCTTTGATAAATTTTAAGAATCCATCGTTTTTGAGTTAAAAATTCCAGAAATTTCCTCATATATTTTCGTGTTCCAGTCGATATTTTTTGTACCTAAAATTATGTTTCACTAATTGGAATCATGGTAACTTTAACATGAGGACCCATGGACGCTTTATTTGTATCTAAGACGCCAGAATTTAAAAGTTTTTATGTGAAAATTCGAAAAGCAGAAAAAAATTTTTTTTCGGAATCACTTTTTTTTTTATGAAACCATCCATAACTTTTGATCTGTTCGTTATATCAAAAATCTGACTTCAGATTCGGAAAGTTCATAAAATTTTGCGTAGAATAAGCTTACTCGCAAGTTATCCAGACCCCACTTTCAGCAAAAGTACAACGGTTCAAAAAAGTATCAAAAATGTGTCCGTCACGTATTTGATGGGTTAAGCTAAGAAATATAGAGTTCTAGCTTAGACGCATTTCAAGTTGACCAGTATAGCGTTAAACTAGCTTCACTAGCTTCACCAGAGTCCATTGAAGAGTACCTAGGCATCAATATTTTATCTAGAGGAAAAACATTTTGGGAATTTTACCAATACCACCACTAGAACGTAAAAGAAAAATTCTATAGATTTTTTTAAATTATTACTAAGTTATTGTAAGCTAGATTTGAAAAAAAGGTGCTTCAATGGAAAAGCTTTATTTGTGTGGCTCGACTGCCGCATACTTATAATCGACCACTATTGTAGGAAAAAAAATCCAAAGTTGTACAATTTGATGGCAAATCTAAAAAGATGAGAAAATTCCTCATAAAATCATGAAAAAAGAAATTTTTCGGAGTTGTAGTTCCTTCATCAATTCTGTAAATAAATTGCTTTGTATTGAATATTTCTACACAATATTTATTTTGTATAAAAAGGTAAAAACAACCACTGAAGTAATAGATAATAATACAATATTGATAAAAATGAAAAAGTGATAATTTCGTAAACCCTAATTCGATCCATTTTCCATGGCTGAAAATCTCTTTAAGGATAATCACTACTGTTCGGGGTTTTCCGGCAAAATTCGCACGAGATCGTGATTGCTTTCAACGACGTTGGTGTAGCTTACAGTGTCATTGTCGTGATGTCGTATTTTCATCATCCATCGTCTTATATGACCACGTTTCCAGTAATAAGCAAATAAAGCTGCAACGAGGCTAAGAAGAAGTACCACCAAGCAGAACCAGAGTAGGATGTAGAGGGTAAAACGTACTGTAGGATTTGATAGAAGAGGTACGTCACACTCGAGCTCGTCGATCGGCACGTCGTGCAGCAATTTTCCCCGATGCTTCAGCGGCGCTTGGCATCTGACCAACAGATAGAGAAGAAATAAAAGAAAAGAGAAAATAGAGGTCTTTTCGCTTTTACCTATTGTATTTTCACATTTCGTGTGCACCTGATGGTATAACGGCACTTTTTTTATTTACTTTTACTCGATTTAAGTGGTTAGCGAAGCACCGATCGATCGAATCATTTGAATACGTATACGTGATTGGTGTTGCCAATGACATTCTTCACAATTTTTTTTCGTCTGTTTTGAGTTGGTTCAAATATTAATTTTGTTTTGTCAATGTTGAAGTAATTCTTCAAAATTAAACGATAAAATAATAAGTTTATCTGGCCAGTTTTGGCCGGCCAAAACGTTATTTAATGAATTTTTTAACAAAATTGAATTAGCAGTTGAACTAATAAGATACCGATTAATTCATATGAAAGCTTTGATTAAATTGAATAGTCAACCTGTAGCAATTATAAACTGTCATTCAGTTTTCTAAATCAAATATCTTTAAAAAAACCAAATTCTGAGTAAGAGTAAATTGATTACATTTTTATTAGTTATTCTCAAAAAATGTATGTGGATGTCATTTGCTTCATTTTCTAAACATTGACAAAGTTTTTTACACGCAAAATATACGAAAAACATCTTCAACTCATTGAGAAATAAAAATTTTGAAGTGTTAAACTGCAATGGAAAGGGAAAACTATCAAATTTTTAATTAAAACTTCTTCAATTATTAAGTACTTTTGCGCCATTATTATTAAGGCCAATTAAATGTTCTATATGTAATTTTATACGATTTTTTATCTAAATAAAGAGAACTTATAGAACAAGCTCAGAAACCTTTAGGCCTTTTTCACAGTTCTTAAGTAAATGAGACCTTACTTGTTTTGCTTCCAGGTAAATCAGTAAAGTGACTAATAGTGAAAAAGGCCTATTCATGCGTGAAATGCTTAAAAACTCGAGCGGAATTTCTGTATTATTAAAAATGTTACTTTACCAAAATTTAATATAGAGAAATTAAGAGAACATAGAACGCCATCTATAAACATAACTTTAACTCTTGTACAAGCCAGCTTAAATGGATAATGTATCCCCAGTGCACCACTTATACAAGTTCTGGTAAAAACAACTTCCTACCTTATCTACTCTGAGAAAAATAACTTTGAAATTTGACTGTATTCACAGTAACAATGGAATATACTCAAAAATCCTCATAAAAATTACTTTTTCTTAGATATTTTTCTCAAAACACAAATTTTACGATATAAACTGTGAATTATACGAGTTTAAAATCCAAATTATTAAAAAGTGAAATTGAGTAAAATTTTAAATGTGTTATTAATGTTATTATTATTATTAAATACCTAAAATTATTTTTCAAGTCAGTTGTTAAGTTCATGGCTGCGAGCCATGTTAATCGACAATCACATATCCAAGGATTATTTTGGAAATCTAATACTTCAGTTTTTTCCACGATGCGTTTGAGATCTGCTGAAATTGTTTCCATAGAGCAATTAACTAAGTAACATCGTTTGAGGCTTGGTAGTAAATTTGAGTTCATTTGAGGTTTCAAACGCATTTCAGCAAGATTTTTTGAGTTGCTCAAGGATAAAATTTCTAATTTGGTGAGGTTTTCAAAATTGTTAAGTAGAACCGACGTGAGATTGGCTGATCGTTCTATCGACAAAAAGTGCAATTCTGGCATGATGAAAGCTCCTAAATGCATAATGTTTGTTCCATCGATGTAGAGTACTTTCAATCCCAATGGCAACGGAGGTACATCTTCTATGGGATTATCTGATAAGTCCAGAAACTCCAGTTTCAATAGAGGTTCAAATAATAATGGAGAAAAATAAGGCGATGATATGTTTCGTAAATTAAGATGCTTAAGATTCGTTAGATTTCGGAAAACAAACTCATCGATATTTTCTCCAATAGGGTTGCTAGCTAACGATAAAAAATCCAGGTTCTGAAAAAAAATGTTATTCATCACTTTACTATAATCTAAAGTTTTCAAATGTTACTGAAAATGACGTTTAAATAGTTATCAATAGCGCCGGCAATTATATGACTTGAATACATTTTTTTTATCATTTGTTTTTTATTTCTACTTATAAGCTTATAAAAAAAATAATGAAAAATTGGAAATACGTTAAAGCAATCATTTGTGAAAAAAAACAATTAACTTACTATCATGTGTTGCAACATAGTATCATTCACTACGTAAAGATTATTGTAAGACACATCCAGAATTTTCAGTTTTATAATTTTGTCGCTTAAAGCTTGATCATTAATATATTCAATTTGATTGTGGCTGACATTCAGAGATTCCAAATTGTATTCTTTCTGGCACAGGAAAAAGAATTTTTCCAAATTATTGTAAGATAAATCGAGTGTGAGCAAGCTGCTGAGCGTTGTCGAACAATCAACGAATCGGTCAAATTTATTGCCCCGCAGTATTAAATGTTTCGCATTGTAGATCTCGGCTACATGCTGCGTTTTCATGAAAAAGTCTTCTTTTAACATTCCAAGATTTGATAGATCGACCTAAATATATTTTTCATACACATGAATGCATTTTGCAAATAAAGAACTGTATTCGAAAAAGGAATTGATTCCAAAACTTACAGTTTTTGGTGTCGTTGAAAAAAGTTCGCATCTTCCCCACGATACGATAAAAATGAAAATTAATAATTTGATTATCATGATCAATCGGAAATTTTTTTAAAAATTTTCAATTATTGTCAGACACGTGTTTCAAAAAAAACAGGGTGACACAATTATAAAGACGCCAGGCAGCAAATGTTGCAGCGGGCAGACGCACAGGTCACAAGTTCAGAATAGCGATGTAAACTGAGCATGCTGCTGTAGCTAAGCCACCGTTGACTGCATTTACAATGATGATACCCTCCTGAGAGATGAGATAAGTCTGAATTCGGAGTCACGCAATATTTATTGAACAAAAAAAATCATTAGCGCGAAAATTTTTTTTTTTTTTTTCATTAACATCATTTAAAATTTTTATATTAATGTCTTATTTTTTCAAAGAACTTTTCAATTGTGACTCTGAGAAAATATTTAGTTCGTGTTATAATTTATTTAGATTCAACTGTTGCTAAACATCAAAAATGTTAGACTCTTATCAACACCCGAACTAGATGCGTCGAGCATCTCATACATTTAGCTCTATAAATTTAAAACGATATTCTAGTAAGTATTTCTACATAATATGCATCATTTGCGATCGGCTGATACATTTATTTTTGTCTCAGAAAATTATGCATTTTTTTATTTTAATACACGCTTCAAACAGCAACAAAGATAGTGCATTATCTTGTATGGCTTTCAATTAAAGTCAAAACTTACGAAATTAATGTAAAATTTTATGTAAATCATAGTTTAATTAAAAATTTTTATTCAACATTCGAAAAAATTACTCGTTGGTCTAATGTTCATCTATAATATTTTTATTAATTTATTATCAAACTTTAAAATTTTGTTACATAAATACATTTTTTTATATACATTCATTTTTTGTTCACCTACAATTTTTTTATCACATTAATACATCATTTGTATTTGTATCACTTTTTGGGAGTTTGCGGTGTGCTAGAAGCTTTAAAAACTAATGGGTTTGATACTCTAAATATACTTGGTAGCATAGTGGCGAGTGTACCAAATACCTCTTCTGACATTCCCTAAACATTCAAAAAGTACTTTATATTTTTAGAATATTTCTGCAAAAAATATAAAATACATATCTTAGTTACCTTTGGAACTAAAAATTGTAAATTTTTTAGTTCTGCTCCACCCCATGATGCCATTTCTATCATAAAACCTTTGACACATTTAAATACTAATTCCGCCCGTTTGGTGCACCAAGCTACAGTCATATCCTAAAATACAATAAAATATTATGAGATTAATTCAGTAAATCATATTTTATTCTTAAAAACTATAAGCTCTACTTCAGTCATTTCATGTACTAATAGAACTGGTATTGTCAAAGTTGTGACATCATTACAACAAGCAGTTTTCAAAATATTTCTCAATCCTAATATTGCAGGATGTCTAGAGTTAATATCCCCTGAAATACATACAAGTTCATTACTTTAAACATTTATAGCGAACAAATTTTTCAAGTGTTAAGTAAGTGTACCTGATCTTAATGAATCATTAACAACCATATGAAAAACAACATGAACTTGAGCTAAATTGGAATGTCTTGTAATAAAAACATCTCCAATTTGTAAAGTTTTACTTGATGTTTGGGATTTTCTAGATGGCTGCTGCTAGAATTAATAAAATTATTCTTTAACTCTTTTTCATTCATTTCTTCTTATTTATTCTTACATACTTGTAATTCATCTTCTTTGTGATGTGTTTGTCTCCATGCAACTGCATCTTTAACATCTTCCCTTATCTTTTCAAGTTGTTCATCAATTGAAGGAAAGTGGAATTCAGATGTGGATTGTGATATTGATATGAGTTCTAGAATTAAGGAATAATATTTTTTATTTCCTCTTAATATTTTATAGTTTTCAAATTCCATTTAATATAAATTTGAGACTAGCCTTTTGTAGTACCAGAATAACTTCCCAAATTGTTGTCACTTAATAGTACTAGTCCACATAAATCATTAGAATACAGTCCTAATGCAGTTTGTAATCTTTGCGGGGTAGGATCCGCACTTCTAATACAAAAGTAAAAAATTTGTTGAAAAAATTGAATTAAAAATTTACAATTTTTATGGTACGTACTCAGAATCATTGTGTTTTGTTCGACAGAAATCTAGAACATCACCGGTCAAAATTCTAATATTGTGCATCTGCTTCATTTGAGAGCCCAAATGAATAGTGAAACTTTCTTCAAGTTGTTGATATTCAGTTAAACTTTTTTCATCAATTATCACGAAACCATCACAACCAGAACCAAGAGGTAATGGAACTGTAGGAGATTCTCTAAAAAACAATAAGAAAAAACATAGTCTATAAGTTGTTGAACATGTTATTACACTATTAGTAACTCTGTAATAATACTAACACTGGGGTAGGTAACATATTAGTTTGCTGTTCTTCTAGAAGTCTCATGATCCAATTTCTGTAATGACGTCTTTGTTCTAATTTTAAAGAATCAATTTTGGAACACCATTGACCTTGCATTAAACTTTGTTCTTCAAAATGACGCCCTGCCATATTATTAATAGACTTCTCTGTAGAACCTGTCTCTAGAGTCTCGACTGCAACTCTCATTTCTTCAGTTTGCCTTGAAACGTATAATAGATCATAAAGCTATTTACTTACAACAAAATATTTTAATGATTTTCATAACTTACTTTTGAGTCAATTGGTCATATTCTTTATCTCTCATTTTGATAATATCAGTCACAGCTTTTCCAAATTTATGTTCTGCTTGCAAAATAGGCTCTAAAGATGGAGAATGCACTAATCTATGATAAGCAACTGCAAATAATTCTTCATCTGTTGTACCTATTGGCTCCGCATATTCAGCAGTTTTTTGTTTATAAATTTTCTCCCAGTTTTTTATAATATCTTCCACATCAAGTTCCCCTTGCTTTGCTGCATTAATAATTTTTTCTGATTTCTTATCATGATATTCTAAGGTCCACTTTTTAACAGCAGATTCCAAAGAACTGAGCAAATCTGTCTGTACATAACATGGTAGTTTGAAGGATGATATTAACCGATGAACTAATTCTTTTATGGAACCTTGAAATGGTATTTTGACAGGGACTTCCAGAGAATATTCTTGATTTGTTGTGCATGTTGGAAATTTAAATTCGAATATTTTTTCTATGCAATCATCTTCCATGATGTTTTTATAGAGTTTATGCTGTATTTAAATATTTATTTTTATTCACATGTGAATATCGAATAAATTAATTAAACACTGAAAGTTTAGTAAAAGTAGCTGTATTGATTATCTAAAACACTTGTTACTTCAAAATAATCAACTGTCAATTTTTGATAATCACTTTTCTTCATTCAATGATGATGATATGAAATCATATGTATTCTTTATATATTTTCACAACAATTAAAGTGAATAATTTTTGTAGTTTGAGGCTATAAACAGGCCATATTTTGCAGAACTTTATTATTTTTTAGTCCTATGATAATCATGGTGGGATATTTATTTGATATGACGTCCTGCAATTTCATTGCCTACAAACACACGCCAAATACGATCATTACTCGTCATAAAACCTCATGACAACTTAAAGTTGCACCTGAAAAATCGTATATGTAGTAAATAATATTAGATGCAAAACATACTATAGTTTAGTTTAAATAATAAATTAAATAATTAATACTATCAAAGAGTTAAATTTACCAAATATTGATCTACATAATTTGCGAATGCAGCTACTATTTGCCACTACTCGTCGTAAACTGTAATTGTTTCTTTGTGTATCATTGTTTTCTGTTGCTATTTATTACTAAAACTAATTTATTGTTTATCGATAATATTTTAATTATTTAAGAAATAATTTTTCACATAGGCCGTTGAGGGCAACTTTTAATGATGTTTATGACTTGCAAATTATTAACAATTACTTATTCCTACGAAAAATTAGTTTTCAATAATTAATATTAAATAATTTTATTTCTATTTCTACATATGTTGGAAAAAAGACTGCTGCTCTTAACTATACTAATTATTACTGTAATCAGAGTCCATGATATCGTAATATTTTATATCGAACATTGTACAACAAAATTAAATTAAAATTGAATAATTAAAAAGTAATAAACAAAAAAATATATTTTTGTGCAATAATTTTTCCACGCCCTCAAAACGCTATAAGAAAACAAAGACTTGGAAAATTCCCGCATTTATTTAAGGATTACTTGTAGGTAGAACTTCCCTGATCCCTCTATGGCTAAGGGTGTACCTGCCAACCATTGAAAGTGACCACTATCAATTTACTACTGCCCTCTCTAGTTTTGCTTGCTACATACATTCGACGTGCATTGTGGTGCTTGTTTTATAGGCTATCAACAACTCAGTATTTTTGCAGTTATTAACAGTTTCTCAGTGCTTATTTTCAATTATTTAAAATGATTGAAGTAATTAAACATAATGACTTGTCAGACGCTGAAGCTGCTGTTTACGACAGACAGATAAGATTGTGGGGCCTAGATTCTCAGAAACGGTAAGCTAACGTAACCTGTACTTTGACGCCGGTACTCTATTGTTTATCTAATTCGTTCAGTATTATTGATGTACCTATGCCCTATGATGCGAACTTTATTTGACATTTATGATTTTGCGTATCAATTGAAATTTTTCTTCTATTGGAAGGCTAACATTAATTGATGACAATGATCACTTATTTAGTTTGTTTACAATTCATAAAGTTTTTTTTCAATACTACAGAAATATACTTTTAAATGAGTTCAAATTTTACTTATTTGATTAATAAATCATACTAATTCAAATAAAAATATTTTAAACATTAAATTGTTTTTGCAGTTTGAGGCATGCCAGTGTGTTATTGGTAACAATGAATGGATTTTCTGGAGAAATAGCTAAGAACATAATTCTAGCTGGTGTAAAATCAGTTACATTTTTAGATCATCGAAATTCCGTTCAAGAAGATATACATACTCAATTTTTGATTGATTCTGATCAAATTGGTAAAAATGTAAGTTTACATATTATGTCTTATCAAGTGGTTTAAAAATGGTGTATAATATATTTACTTCTGATCCTTTATATAGAAAGCAGTTGCATGGTTGAAAAAAGCTAACAAGTTAAATCCTTTAGTCAACATCAAAGCGGATACTGATAACGTTGATGACAAAGAAGATTCATTTTTTGGTGAATTTGATATTGTGTGTGTAACAGGATGCACAATTACTCAAATGAAGCGAATTAATAGAATATGTCGTGATTACGATGTAAAATTTTTTGCTGGCGATGTTTGGGGATCTTTTGGATATACTTTTGCTGATTTAAACACCCATGAGTTTTTAGAGTAAGTATTAAATTATAATATTTTTTATAACTAAAAATATTAAATATATGCACATAGTGTCACCATACATCAAGTTACAAAAAAGTTACTTTTATGAAAGTAAAAAAAGATGCCTTTCTTCTTTTTCTATTTTTCTATGATAACCACTGCTTAACAGCTGTATTGACTTATACGTTTTATTTGTTTAGATGCCTCATTTATTATTCTATATTCAATTAAACTATTTCAATTTTTTTATGTAGAGAGGTAATTCAAACAAAAAAATCCAAACAAGGAGAGGGAGATGAACCAGAAACAAAGAAACAAAAATTTGATAAAGTAGTCATTTCGTTAAAAATGACTGATACTTTTGTACCCTTTGAAAAAGCTATAAGTAATCAAATTTTATCTTCTGATTCTGCAGAATTTTATATAATGCTGGGTTAGTATTTTTTAAATAATATATAAAAAAAGTTTTGTAACGTTTTTCTTTAAAAATTATTAATTATATTTTTTATCATTTTTCAAGCTATGTTAAACTTTAGAGAAAAACATAAGAGAGATCCAGAATCAGGTGATAAGCCAAAAATGTTATTGAAAAAAGAAATGGACGCTGTTGTTAAAAATCATGAGTTGAATTTCACACTCGATGATTTAGTAACGTAAGTTATTGTCAACGTTTTTTTTTGAACATGGGTTATTAGAAAAACATCAATTGCTTTTTATTTTTTGCAGTGAAGATTTATATGGTCAAGTTAGTCCTTCTTGTGCCATTGTGGGAGGAATTATGGCTCAAGAAATAATCAAGACAATTGCTCAGAATGGACGACCACACAATAATCTTTTTGTATTCAATCCAGTAACAATGATTGGCCAAGTTTTGAAATTGCAATAAATTTCGAGCATAACTATAAGTTATTGTAAATTAGAACTTAAGTTTTTATGTGAATAAATTACTTTATTATAAATTTTATGGATTATAATTATACCTCGTTTCACAGTTCATGTTTCATGATAATCTAAAACATTTATGAAAATTGTATCATTACTTAAAAAATATCTAATTGGTTACCAAGCAGTGTCCTTGGAAAGGTGATAATCTTTGTGAGAGAGCCTAAAAAGAAATTGGATGAACTTGAGATAAAATCATGAATTACTGTAGACACAAAAATTTTGGATGCTTCAAATTGCGCAGAATCGTGCACTGTGTTGAATAATTTTGCGAACTGGATCTGTTGACCAGCTCAAATATTTTTTTCATACTGCTGTTTTTGAGATGTAACATGATCAATAAAATATACACGATGTAAGCCTCGCGTTAAATATCATAATTAAATAAAATAGCACTTACATTGTACGTTAACCATCAGTAACTGTCTGTCATATTAATAATGCAATATCTTACCATAAACGCAGAAAAAAAATGATTCTCATAGTAAATAAATCGTCGATTCTACGCATGGGTGGTTATTAAAGTGTCAGTACTTTTTTGCAAGTGTTTAGGCATAAAAAGAAGTATCGATTGAGCAAACAGTTACGTGAAAAAAATAGTAAGACCAATAAAAAATAAGTAAATGGTGCCCACGAGCTCATATCTGACTCACCTGCGCAAATGTATTTTAAGTGAGTACTACTTAGGTTTAATAGGCGTCGCTTGTACGGAGATCGCGTGACTAGTCGCCGCGTGGACAGCTGCCCTTCTCGCCTCTTTTTTTTCCTTTAAAGCAGACAAATGTCATGAATCCATGTTCGGAGAGAGACTTTTTTTCGTGGCTTTTCGTCCTTTGCACACATCGCGTGTTCACAGAATACGATATTTAAACACCGCGCAGTAATCGCTGACAAAGCGATTTAGCCTTCCCGGAAAACATCAACTGTTTCGTGTATTTACACTAAAAGACGAAACAAACATAAATCAAAAAAAAAATTCTTTCATACTTTTAAATATGTTGGATCATCTATAATCTAACTTTTATAATAAAAAACTATAAGTAGACATAGAATCTTGCCAAGTCCCGAACGATGATAGCAGATCAGGGTAGCTGAAAATAAAATGCGTTAAAAAGGCATCGTCGCCCTGAGCGCGTAACAATGAGTCGAAGGCATTTCAAGTCAAGCTGCCTTTTATCGATATCTCAGCGCAAAAACTGTATTAAGATTTTTTTCCTCCTTTTGGTGTATTGCGTAGCACGAGTCGCACGTGTATCTATATAATCAAGCGCGGGGAAAAATATCCGCGCGCAAACGAATAAACGTGGCGTGGCACAGAGGGTAGGCACATAATCTGCCGCGCTGCGCTTGCCAGAGAGATATTATAATTCTCGCTCACGTTTAAAGCTCGGCTTTTTTTCTCTCATATAGACTTGGATTTTTCTCTTTCTCTCTCGCTCTCTTGATTCAGCCACAGTTGGTGTATACGCTAGAGCGGGCTGGTGCTAATGAATATACGCGATCGCTATTTAACATCGTCGCCGCGCAGACAAGGGAGATCGAAAAATATGAGATAATACGCGCTGCTGAGCTTGCGTAGGCTCGCTTCTTTGCATCGTAAAACAGCGTTTGTTTGAGCTTTGAGCGCGAGTTAATTATCGATAATGAAAAAGAATCTGTTACATTTGTATCGCACATGGGGAAAAATATTTTTTCACGTTGACGAGCGAACGTTGAAGCGTTCTATATACACAGGCCTGGCGCCTATATAGGTAATAGAGATTATATATGCGCGCTTCGGAATATTATTTGCTTATGAGAAAAATCCTGCTGCTAGGGGCCGGCTGTTGTTTATCTAGCGAAAGCTGGATTTTTTAATTAACTCTGATTGAGAGTGAGAGCACATTATGCGCGTGCGTGAGCCGCATACGGAACTCAAATTCCCCAGACATGGCCGCGTTTAATTGGAATAATCGTCGCTCGGACTGCGTCGAAAGAAGAATCGCGTCGAGTCGCTGCCAAGTCCTCGTCCTGTGGGTCATTGACTGTCGCGATCCATCACGGGATCAGCGGCATCGAACTAAGCGAGTAAATCAAAAAATTAATCTCTCGAACGACGATGCGAAATATATGGCTAACGGGCTCCTGCAGTTGGATAGCACTAAATCCAAGAGTCTTTTATTTCGTCCCGAAGGAATCTCCCTCGCGCGCCTAGTGTCAACGGGCGCAACGAATTTCCAAGCTCGTAATTCATATAGGCAGGGACGCGGCGCGACGCAGCCCAGGCCGTATTTCTATTATGTATATCGCGCAAAGAGCCGAGGTGTAAAAGTATTTCATGCTCCTCGGGATATAAACTAATATTCGAGAGAGAAACGCGATGCGATGAGGCACGCCTGCATTAACAAAATAACGTCGTAAAATCTGAGTGCTGCTACCGCTGCTGCCACTGTTTATACGCACCTAGGCCGAGTCTTCGTTTTGCTCTTTCACGCACGCACGATAATGAGAGCCAAAGTCTCGTAAAAACGACTCTCGCGCCTGCACAACAACCTGCACAAACTCGTACTTTGTTAACGATACAGCTGCCAGCTATATACCTACTACACGAGTATTATCCATATATTAGCCGAGCATAACTCGCCAGATATAGCTTATCTCGGCACATCGACTGAAAAAAGCTCTGAGCTTTTGTTTTTTTCATCGCCCTGAGCGAAGACACTTAATGGCTTGTTTGGCTTTTGACGAGGCGCAAGCACCAAAGCATTATCGCAGCTATATGGCCAATAATAAATTTCTACATGCATGCACGCGCCAACACGCGACTCTTAAACCGTACACATAATGCGCAACTTTCCATACACCAACTTATATCTTATGTCTTTCTTTTTTATCCGCAAATCGCGTATAATTTATAATGCTTGCGAATGAGCCTCGGACGCGGCTCGAACTTTAAGCCACGGATCCTAAACTTTTTTTCTAAAATTACCGTAATATCGGCCTGGATCGTCAAGTAATGAATTTAAAATGATCGACTTGTACTACGTAATTTTTATCAAACTTTTCACGTAATATAATGTACAGCAATACTTCAATTTTTCCAGTTTTATACCGTAGATAATGTATATTTGAACGCAATTAGAGTCAATAATTTAAAACTGTGGAACACTCATTGTTTCTGAAGTTGATTTAATAATACACTATTAGTTTTAGTTAAAATTGTTTGATTAGTACATACTTACATAGATAATATCTTTATTTACTGAAAAACTTGCATATAAAAACTTTTTGGATGTTTCAGGGTAAAAGTCTTGTAAATAGATCTCTCATGATATATTGAATACGGTAATTTTTGCAGAAGGTACGCATTAATCAATAGACGTAATACAGACGCAAAAAAAGTCCCGGACAAATCAAAGAGCCTCGAGTTCGAAAATTAAATCGTTCGAATCAACACCTTCCTTCCTTATCGCAGTGAAGCAGCTGCATATCATTACACCCTTACACAAGCCATTAAGCAATTCCTGGCTCGAGTCGAGCCCCTCTCAGCTTTATTTACATATACTAGCTTCTAGCTCGGTTGCAACGGCAGCTCTGCGTGCTCGCGCGAAAACTCGAGCCGCTATCAATTTTCTAAGACAAACAATTAATTCGGAGACCATTACCGGAAACGGAATCCGAGCTTGAACTGCTCGAGTCTCTGCTTCTACTCGCAAGCTCGTATATGCATGTATATTATCCTACGAAATGAGCCGCGGGAGAAATGAAAACAAGACCGGATGTAGCTTGTATATTATGTACGTGCAGAGGAAGGGTCAATAGTCTAGACATATCGAGCATAGAGCTTGTCGCAAACACGCCGAGCTGTGTAAGTCTGAATCGATGGAGCAGCGACTTGGAATTAGCAAAAGGAACATCGAGGCGTTCCTTTGTGCGCGCAAGCCGCGCTCCGACTCGAAAACGAGTCATTGTTAATGCGTTGATATTGCGCATGAATACTCGATGCGAATTGTCCGCGACGAGCGATTATTATCGCGGCTCACTCGCAGAAACGCGCGTCAGACGAATACTATAAGGATAAGGCCGAGGCTCATGCGTGCGCCCGAGTATGTATAAATAAAAAGCTCACCCCCCAGCTATTCTAAGTCTTCCAGGTGACTGTGCACTTTGCTGCTGGCGCGCATTTAAATATTTGCACAAAGCAGTTTGGCGTAAATAGATGCGCGAGCTCGTGCTTTGATGAAATTATTCCTTGGCTACTCGCCGTCTGTTGATTTTCTTTTTTGTTTCAGTTCTCTTGGAGCTTTCAACATACTTCCTGTTCATTTTTTAAGTGCGTCACTTTTTTTTGCTGCGATGAATACACTTGAGACGATATAACGAATCGAGTGCGTATACCTCGTAGCTATATCGTCGGGGCAAGATCGCTCGCAGCGAGTTGTCTTGATTTTTTGCGAGGGCGCTCAAAGAACGATCGGAAGTGTATCATAAGTTACCTTAGAGCTCGGTGACTATTTCGCTCACGCGGTCCATATTTCATGCTTTTGTTCGATTTCGTCTACGCTACGAGGCAGTATTATTTTAGTTTGCCAGCCTGTGCCTGCGTATAGAAGAGAGAGAGAGAACATCATCGATAAGTAGCAACAGCATCTAGCAGCGAGCTCTTTCTTGTTTTTCTTCCGAAACTCGCCAAGAAATACGTTCTCGTTTTCCGTTTTATGTCTGTTTCTGCGTGTCTGTGTGCGCACACGGTCGCGTTATTGCGCTTGTGCCTCGGAATCCACTGCTTTTGCTTCTATACTCGTACGATTTTACCGCATTATGAATGTGTCAGATTCATTGTTATTATTTGCAGTATTCACTCTGCAATGTTCTCTCTCTTTCCTGCACATGTACTCATGTAATAAAGCAAAAGCTCGTCTTGTATTGGCAATAAATTTTCGGAAAAATATACTCAACATTATATCGAAATGATTAATCTTTATG